CTATATAGATTCAATGCAATCCCAATTGAAATTCCAGCAGCATACTTCACAAACGTTGAGAAAACAACCCAAAAATCCATTTGGAACAAGAAGAGACCCAGAATAGCAAAAGCCATTCTAGGCAACAAAGACAAGGTAGGGGATTTCACAATCTGCTACTTGAAACTATACAACAAAGCTACTGTGATACAAACAACATGGTACTGGCAAAGAAACAGACCTGAGGACAAGTGGAACAGATTAGAAGATGCAGAAACAACTCCAGACACACTCAGCCACCTCATCTTCAACAAAGGAGCCAAACACCCCACTGGAGTAAAGATAGCTTCTTTAAAAAATAATGCTGGCAAAACTGGGTTTCAACTTGCAAAGATTAAAACTAGACCTATTGAAGAGGGAAGCCAGGCGCCGGCTCGGAGGGCAGGAGGAGGAGAGGCCAGGCTGGCAGCAGGTCGAGCAGTGGCAGACGAGCATGGGGCCCACCGAGCGCGGGAGGCGGGGAAGCCCCCATAGTGGCCGCTGTGCCCGCCCCTTCCCCCGATGCCCGACCCCTCTCCCCCCGTCCGCCCACCGCCTTCCTCCCTCTCCTTCCTTCCCCATGGCCGGCCGCCTCCTTGCCCACCCGCCCACAGCCCCCGCGCCGAGGCCGCCACGGCAATGGCCTCGGGCGACACCCTCTACATTGCCACGGGAGGCTCGGAGATGCTGGCCGGCCGAGTCGTGGAGCTGCATGAGATCGAGGTGGAGACCATCCCGGTGGAGACCATTGAGACCACGGTGGTGGGCGAGGAGGAGGAGGACGACGACAACAACAAGAATGGCTGCAGCGGCGACCACAGTGGCGGGGGCAGCCACGGGCACGCTGGCCACCACCACCACGACCACCTGCCCATGATCGCGCTGCAGCCGCTGGTCACCGATGACCCGAGCCAGGTGCACCACCACCAGGCGGTGATCCTGGTGCAGACACGCGAGGAGATGGTGGGCGGCGGTGACTCGGACAGGCTGCGACGGCTTCGAGGACCAGATCCTCATCCCGGTGCCCGCGCCCGCCGGCGGCGACGACGACTGCATCGAGCAGACGCTGGTCACTGTGGCAAGAGCGGGCGGCAAGAAAGGCTACCTGGGCGGCGGGGCGGACGGTGGCGGCTCCGACCCGAGCGGCAAGAAATGGGAGCAGAAGCAGGTGCAGATCAAGACCCTGGAGGGCGAGTTCTCGGTCACCATGTGATCGTCAGATGAAAAAAACGATACTGACCATGAGACGGTGGTTGAAGAGCAGATCATTGGAGAGAACTCGCCTCCTGACTATTCAGAGTATATGACAGGAAAGAAACTTCCTCCCAGAGGGATACCTGGCATTGACCACTCAGACCCTAAACAACTGGCAGAATTTGCTAGAATGAAGCCAAGAAAAATTAAAGAAGATGATGCTCCAAGAATAATAGCTTGCCCTCATAAAGGCTGCACAAAAATGTTCAGGGATAACTCTGCTATGAGAAAACTTCTGCACACCCAAGGCCCCAGAGTCCACGTCTGTGCAGAATGTGTCAAAGCTTTTGTTGAGAGCTCAAAGCTAAAGCAACACCAGCTGGTTCATACTGGAGAGAAGCCCTTTCAGTGCACATTCGAAGGCTGCGGGAAACGCTTTTCACTGGACTTCAATTTGCGCACACATGTGCGAATCCATACCGGAGACAGGCCCTATGTGTGCCCCTTCGATGGCTGTAATAAGAAGTTTGCTCAGTCAACTAACCTTAAATCTCACATCTTAACACACGCAAAGGTCAAAAACAACCAGTGAAAAGAAGAGAGAAGACCCTTCTCAGCCACTGGAAGCATCTTCAAGGATGGGATTGGGAATAAATATGCCTCTCCTTTGTATATTATTTCTAGGAAGAATTTTAAAAATGAATCCTACACACCTAAGGGACTTGCTTTGATAAAGTAGTAAAAATTTTAAAAGAAACTTTAATAAGATGACATTGCTAAGATGCTCTATCTTGCTCTGTAATCTCGTTTCAAAAACAAGGTGTTTTAGTAAAGTGTGGTCCCAGAAGGAGGACAATTCATGAACTTTGCATCAAAAGACAATTCTTTATACAACAGTGCTAAAAATGGGACTTCTTTTCACATTCTTATAAATATATGAAGTTCACCTGTTGCTTACAATTTTTTTAATTTTGTATTTTCCAAGTGTGCCTATTGTACACTTTTTGGGGATATGATAGTAATGTGGTGTGTGATTTTTCTGGAGGTTGATAACTTTGCTTGCAGTAGATTTTCTTTAAAAGAATGGGCAGTTACATGCATACTTCAAAAGTATTTTCCTGAACAAAAAAAAGTTATATAGGTTTTGTTTGCTATCTTAATTTTGGTTGTATTCTTTGATGTTAACACATTTTGTATAATTGTATCATATAGCTGTATTGAATCATGTAGTATCAAATATTAGATGTGATTTAATAGTGTTAATCAATTTAAACCCATTTTAGTCACTTTTTTTTTCCAAAAAATACTGCCAGATGCTGATGTTCTGTGTAATTTCTTTTCCTGTTCAGTTACAGAAAGTGGTGCTCAGTTGTAGAATGTATTGTACCTTTTAACATCTGATGTGTACATCCCATGTAACAGAAAGAGGAGCAATAAAATAGCAATCCTAAAGAAAGAGTATGGCAGAAAAAGATCTGTAAGCACAGTCTTATTTTCTTTTGTTGTCCAGAACACTTAAATTCTTGAGGATCCCAGAAATTGGAAGCTAAATAAAGCAACTCAAGTTTCCTTTATTTTGCACTCAATTACAGTGACTTGTGGTTAAAGTGATGCATGGATATTTTAATGCTCCCTACACACCCTGAATTCTGCCAGAGTAGGAAACAGGCACCCTATGGTAAGGAACTACCTCAGCACCAAGCCGGGCTGCGGGTGATAGCTTGGACGTCAGCATCCCCAACTGGTGGCAGCACAGCGTTTTTGCGTGGCCCAAGCCCTTCCCAAGGTAAGGTGCCTGCTGGCTGTGGGCCTGCGTTCTGCTCAGGCTGCATGCGAAGGCAGCTCCCAGGAGCCCTTGGCTTGTGTGACAGGAGACAACAGTTGTTGATTATCTGGTTTGAGGGCCCTTGTTCCTCCATCTTAGTGGAGTCCTTATTAAACGCTAGCAGATGTGGCAATTGAGCGCCAATAGCACAATTTCACACTTCAAAACGGACAGAGTGCAGTTTGGCGAGGTGATTAGATTCCTAGGAATTGTACTCAGTGAGTACTTGACCTATTGTTTGGTGGCCTCTTATATGTAAAATTATAACTTCCGAATTTTACTTAGGATCAAATATCAGACTTGAGAATATTTTATAAACTGCCATGGTACAGCAAGATCCCATTTATTGAAAATGCAAACACATCATATGTCTTCTGCACTGAATGCTTGACTCTGCGAGGTAGATGACAACCTAGCTAATAGAAGATTTCTTTACAAAAGGCCTGGGACACCATGTGGTCCAACAGTGTAGCCTGGTTTCTTCCAGTGTCCTCACCAGGAGGATTGGTGACCTAATGACAGTGACCCCGTGGCTCTGTAGAATCTTGAAGTGCCTTCTGAATAATAAAGAAAACTTCAACTTCAGATGCTTGTTTTCATTTCTCCAGATTCTGTTATCCGTTGGGTAGTTTGTAACTGAGGTTGATGCAAAGACCCCAGCTGTCCCCTGGCAGTCAGGAGAGGGAAGCCCACCGTGGAAGGCCTGCCCTTAGAGCCAGAGCCCTCCTATGCCCACCCCACCTCCCCTGCCACCATCAGGTGGCGCAGTTCCAGTGGCTGGGGTGAGGCCACTTCAGGCAGCCACTGTGATTGGGGCACAGGGCCACATCCCCCACACCCAGCACTTAGTGTGACGGAGCCTGTCCCTGGCAGCACCCTGGGAGACATGCCGAGACCTGTGACCTGCAAGGGTCAGGCTCCTTCGTGGAACTTGGTCCCTCTTCCTGTGCCTTCGTCGGTGGGGGATCCACTTGGTCATCCCCTCGGCCCCTCTCTGTCTGTGCATGGAGTAGTCATCATCCTTCCCCCTTCTCTTGGTCTGCAGAGTTCACTTCTTGGAAGAGTTTAACTTGGGTCTCAAAGGAAACATAGCAAGTTCCTTGTTGACGTAGCACTCTGAGTCAACAGCAGTTGTGTAGGAAACTAGTGAATGAGCAACAGTAAGAGCAGAGGTAGTTCTCACTGGGTTCCACCCAAACCCACTTTGCTTGTTAGAATTCATAATTTTGTTAAAGATGATATTACTAAAATTTGAAATGTGTTCTAACAGTGATTCCATTGTCTTGAGAATTAATCTGGCTTATAAGTAATACTGATAGACATATTTTCTTACCTCTGAGCAGAAATAAATGCATGTTTCTAGCATATGTAATATAAAAATTCCAGAGGATAAGTTTACACCTAACAAGATGTTTTCTATTTTTGAATTTATTTCCCCCCTCTTGGTAGTGGGGCTGCAGGGGGCCATATCTGTATAAAGAACTCACCCCAGAGTGACGCTTGTTTCACAAGGTGACACCGAGCTCATGCTGTGGTCTCACCAGGTTTGCTTTGCCTGGGCTCAAGGCCTGCGAAGCTGAGGGAGAGGAAGGTTTTCTTTTCCTAGTTGGTGTTCATGCGGAGGCTTGATGGCTAATCTGAGGAAGCAAGACCCTGCGTGTGTGCCCTGCAGACAGCTCCAGTCCATCTCCTGGGAGAGAGGTGAGGCTTGTAGCTGGGCGTGGCAGCCTGGAGGGAGACATGGTCAGCCTGAGTAGTCACTGGAGTCCTGGCCTGGGCTTCCAGCTAATGCTCCCACCCCGCTGAGAAGAGTTCACCTCTCATAATGAACCTCCCAACAGTCTCGACCCAGGGTTTACACACTGGCCCCTGAAATGAGGCTTTGAATTGGAAACACGCTAACCTGCCCACCTCTGCAGTAGGCATCCTGGCTCTGCCCCCACTGTGACCTGGACTCTGCCTGGGCTGGGAAATTGTCAGTCTTATTCCATGTCTTTGGCATCGGACCAGCAGAAAGAGCAGGAATCCAGAGGTGAAGGCGCCATGGAGCTGCCGTTGCTCCATGCAGCCCTTGATGTCACACCTATGCCAGTGGTTTCCTCCTAGCTGTGCTGTGGCCTGAAGCAGCCGGCCCCTTTCCTGGCGTTGAGTTACCTTGGGCCCCGTCTGACTGCAGCCCTTTGTCCCGGCTCCCTTGGCACTAGACTGCAGCATCTCAGAGAGGAGCCCTGGGGGGTGCTTGCTCTCTTCCTTGCCCGTGCTCTGTGTTGCCTGCTCTCTGCGCCTTCAGAATCTTGCTTCACGGCAGCACTGCATGGCTGGCCAAGTCTTGTTCACCCTAGGTTACTGCCCACAGGCTCGTTACCATCCTGGTTGTGTTGGATGAGCAGCACCAGGCAGGGAGACTATAGCCAACACCAAAGGCTTCTTGGCATCCTTCCTGGGCCTGAGTGGCCGGCATGTCTTAGCTGGGGTGATGAGGGGCAGGTGGCAGGTGGACCGGTGGACCGTCAACCCGGCCCCTTACAGATAGTGCAAGGAAACACTGAAACTGTTGGCATCCATCAGTTGCCACATCAGACCTTGTACCAGACAACCTGGTACGAGGAGGCCAGAGCTGCCATGTGTGGCGGGTGCTGTCCAGGCTGGGCCCAGCCCCTACATTCCCGGCCAGCATCCTGGGAAAGACATGCCTAGGGAACGGCCCCGGCCTGGGGTGGGAGCTCTGCCAGGCTGCCTGCTGTCCCGGCTGGGGCTGCATCCCAGGCGGGCCGAGGGCCGTGGGTCCCAACGGAGTGACCTCGGTCTCCACAGTGTCAGCACCTGGTAGCTCCGCTGTTCACAGGTGTTCACTCTGGTAACTTCTGTAGGCCTTGGCTCAGGATGTGGCATTGTGTTTCATGTTCATCTTTCTCTTACGTGTTCTTTGCCATTTCTGGAACTGTCCTTGGTTTTTCCTTAGCTCATAGGTCATAGATGCAGAAATATTGTAGTACTTAAGGCATCCGCATCAAGCATCAGATGGCTTTGCATCCAGAAAAACATTGATAACTCATGAAGCACCAAGCATGTGTAACATGGCACTGTACAATAAATGCATAATGTTAAGCTTTTAAAACAAAACAAAACAAAAACTAGACCTATATCTCTCACCATGCACTAAACTAAAATCAAAATGGATTAAAGATCTAAATATTAAAACAGAAACACCTAACCGACTAGAACAGAAGTTAGGTAGAACTCTTGAAGACATTGGCGTAGGAAAATATTTCATGAACAAAACCTCAGTTGCATGTGAATTACCACAAAGCATCAACAAGTGGGATCTTTTCTTATTATAAAGCTTCTGCACAGCAAGAGAAACACTAACAGCATGAAGAGACAACCTATGATGTGGGAAAAAATTTTTACCAGCCCTTCCTCAGATAATGGTGTACTATCTCAAATCTATAAAGAACTTAAAAAAAATCAGACCTCCCAAATTTAAAGAGCAAATCCAAAAATGGGCATCTGAAGTGAACAGACATTTCTCAGGAAAGGAAGCAGAAACAGCAAATAAACATATCAAAAAATGTTCAACAGTACTTGTCATTCAAGAGATGCAAATGAAAACAACACTGAGATTCCACCTCATCCCAGAAAAAGTGGCTGCTGTCATGAAATCAACCAATAACATATGCTGGTGTGGCTGTGGGGAAAGAGGAACACTGCTCCACTGCTGGTGGGAGTGTAGACTGGTGCAA